TTCCGCAATTATCCTTAACCCCAAAACTAACCAAACCTCTAAAGTAAATTTTGACAGACTGAAACCTTATTTTGAATAAATTTCTTCTTTACAGATTCTATGGACTATTCTCAGTCGCCTACTCCCAATTTTACCTCTCTCCCATTAATAATACAGTCGGAATCTTCTATCACGAAGAAGGTACCATTCGAATATCTAACGATAAATGGACATTACTTGTTTACAAGGAATTGCTCCCTATAGAAACTGCCATATCCAACAACGACAAAATTTTAGAAAACTTGCTAGATAAATTTACTAAGGCTGATACTCCAAGAAAACTTGCATTTCAATCCTAAGTACAAACACACATTAGTTTGATAAGACAAATTTCTAATTCCGTAAATTTAAAATATAGAGAAGTAATTGCCGACACACGAGCCTATAATCCACGCCAAAAACGAGGATTAATCAATGGTGTTGGAACCTTATGGAAATCTATTAGTGGAAATTTAGACGCATCAGACGGTGAATATTTCAATCAATGTATAAATAAGATCACTACAGATGAAAAGCAAATAGAAACACTCCTAAAGAACCAAATCTCTGTTACAACTTCTGTCATAAAATCTTTTAACACTACTATCCAAAAATTACAAATAGACGAACAAACTTTTAACAAAGACCTAAACGATATCGAAACCACTCTTATAGACATTGCAGACGACATATCATTTTACCGTGCACAATTACAAACCTTAAATTTGTGTGAATCATTAATGGAAAGCTACATATTTTTAGAAAATTATCTCAATGACATTTTGAACGCCATCACCTTTTCTCGGTTGCAAATTTTACACAGTTCAATTATTTCGCCCAATGATTTACTAGATGCATTGAAAACTATCTCACAATCATTACAAAATAATGTATTACCATTGCCCATTTATACATCAAATATAGCCCAATATATTGATATAATAAAACTTCAAGCATATCAACTCGATTCCAAAATTGTATTCGTCCTAGAAATTCCATTAGTCGACCCCGAAATCTATACCTTATATCATCTATATTCGATACCAATATTAGATAATCAAACTGGTCTTTTTCATACACTCTCTACAATACATAAGTATATAGCGCGAGATGATGATTCAATTTCATATGTATTACCCCGAAACACAGAAGAATGCAAACCAATTAGTCCAAATCAAAGAATGTGCACAGATATTCTTCCCTATCCAATAGACAGCGATACTATATGTGAGGCACAGTTATTGAAACCAGTTAGCTTTCTACCAAAAACTTGTCAGATGTCGATGTTTTTTACAAGATTACAATGTGCAAGAAATTGACCGAAATTTATGGTTAATAACAGTATCCGATCCATTACCAGTTACAATCAAGTGTGAAAGAAAAGACATTAGTACCCAGACAATCAAAGTAAACACAATTCTAAGATTACTACCCGAATGTACAGCATTTATTGGAAGTACCAGAGTCCACGCCAGAGATCAAATCAATAAATATCCAAATATAACCTACAGAAGTCATCCAGTTAATATTCCATACACATGTTGTGACCATTTTGGAAGAAGAAACCATATACCAAATTTGAAACCATTAAAACTCAATAAGATAAATGCAGACGATTTAAATATTGCACAACATAAGCTGGACCAATATTCAGAAGAACTCGACCAAATCATGAACCAACCATTCATCGAAAAACATTTGCCTTGGTTCACTATATTGTCTTTATCATTAATTATCATTCTAGTTTTTGTATACATCCTCTGCAAATGTAGACGCAAAAGATTTCCAAGACTTGCCATGAACTACCCTCAGGACTCACCTCCACCTTCACCACATCGCAGCAGTTCCATTAAACAGAAACTTAAAGGATTAACCTTTAAAAGAAGACCAGACGTACGCCCAGAAAATGAAGACGTCTCCGAAACCCCAATTGAGCTTTAAAAGTCGAAGCAAGGCATCGACTTTTCACTAATGAGGGGAGCTGTTATATGTGAAAATAGTCACCTTGAACCACTCAAGGGTTACCGACACTTTGGTTTCGCAATATCAGTTCCTATTTCATCATTCTTTTAGCAAGCGTTCCCATAGAGATAGCTGACTATGCACGGACATCAAACTCTGACCAAAGCTGGCCTTTCGTGGGAAATGCCGACACCACATTTTGTAGATAGATTATAAATTCAGGACTAACATTATATTTTCACTCGTCATATAAGTTTCTTACTAATAACATTTGTATTGTATAATTTTATTTGCTTCATTTTATCGTATAACTAAGTGTAACTTTTATTTGTGAAATAAATCTTTTTTAAAAGTCAATCAAGAAGTTAGTGATTTAACATATATATATATATATATATATATATATATATATATATATATATATATATATATATATATTATATATATATATATAATATATATAATATATATATATATATATATTACCGTATGCTTAAAAATTAATAGTTTAGAAACTTTATAAACTACAGAATAAAGTAAAGTTAAATGAACAAAAAAATTATGCTTTTTAATATGAATTCAAAAATTGTGGCTGTGGCGTGTACATTTTTACATTTTACAGAAGTAAAAACACTTCACATTTACCTAAGTATATACCTAAATACAAATGTGAAGCATTTTACTTCTGTATAAGTTTTTTAAAGCATATATAATTTCGTCAAAGTATCTTTCTATTTTTAAACACTCCTATACTTTATACAAAAAAAAGTGGCAACACTGTGTCACACAAACATATAGCTGGATGCCAGGTTATGTTCATTGCACCAATATTGAAGAAGTCCAATAAGACTTGTAATTGCGGATATTTTCATTTTAAAGATTTTTTTGTAGTTTTGTTTTTATAGTTTCGGAAACAAAAATAAAAAAAAGCCCTTTTTCACAAAAAGCCTTTTTGGGGTTGCTAGATTTTTACCTTACCTATATTGGCTGGCAAAGTTTTTTCTACTTCTAATATGTGAGGACTGGAATATAAGTATATTACTAACCTTTTTCAGTTTTTTGGTTTTCTTCTAATGGGTTAAGTTTATTCCCATATTGTTCTATTATAGGATTTATAGGATGTTCCTTTAAGTCTAAATAATCATATGTGTCATGTGTACTTTGCCTATTGGATTCCTCCTTAATTTCACATTTGAAGTCATCCAAAAGAGCATCATCATCGAGGTCATTATACTCTATTTCTACTTTGCATGTTTCCTGACTAATTTCTTGTTTTACTTCCATTTGATTACACCACTTTATTTTATGTATTTTTCAATAATAACATTACACCCAAAAGGAATTCTATGAAGATGACAGCACAGGAATAAGCATGAAAATGAAACCGATACCACAGAATAATAAACAATCAGAATGCCCACTCTCCATGGAAAATTAAGTAAAATTCAGCTTACATATCTCTGGTAAAATATGTGCATCTCGTTCGCGCAGACGTTCCGCCATGTTTTAAAGTGTTGTTTATGTGGTGTGCATAGAAAAATTAACCCGGTTTAATTGACTTACGGCAATCATAGACATACTATATAATTATATTAACATTGTTAAATATAATATAATTAAACATAAATATAAATAATCACATAACCTCACAAATCATATGTCTGTTACTATTAATTTTAGAGTTATTCTTATAATTTAAACATTATTAAATTTATCAAACGGGTTAAAGAGATGGATTGAAGTAATTATATTATTAATTTCTAAAAAAAAATGTTTGCAACCAACAATACACATAAACCTCATTGACATATTCAAAAATGGATACAATTGAACTGCGCATGTCTGCACATAAGAGTAGGTCAGGCTCTAGACGCTAGTCATATACTATTGCAGACTTCTTTCTTTGAAAAAAGAAGAATTATTCTAAATAGTGGAAGTGTATACAAAACCCATCAAATTTTATGTTGTATTTAAAAAATATATTTTAGTTGTTATAATTTAACATAACTATTTATTATATGGTGCTATATATGATAAATAAATATTAATTCTCGGTAATTCGCAAAGTTCTATTTTATTTACTATTTAGTTTGTTTACTATTAATATTGGCTATGAGTACGTATGCTTGGTTGTATAGTAATTCCCAGAAACTTATTATCTGTCAAAAAGTAACTAACATCGCAAAAAAAAATACTAAATTCACTACACTTCATCTAATTTATATAACGATGCACGTCATAGCTTGTGACGTCACATGATACCAACACGAAATATTTATGCGGTAGGTGTGTTCTTTTTTAGAATCACTTTACCGAGTACACTGGCATTACAGCCACTAGACATATTTTATTATATACGCGTAGAAATAATATTTAAAAATTTCTATTAGTGTTAACTTAAAGAAATACACAATAATATGTTTCATTTAATTTGTATAAATGCATTATAAAGCGTTTTTATCAAGAACATTTGTTCGGAACACACTGTAACTGTAATCGAACGAAGGTAAAATTTTGGCATAAATTGGTAACACTTACTTAACAGTTGCGGTGTTGACACTTTTTGTACTTTATTATTTTGAATTTTAAAATGAATATCTCTTGTTTTATATTTTTTTCTATTTAATAAAATTTGTTCTTTTAGAACAAAATTAGTGTGTTTTATTTCAAAAATGTCACATAAGAATTTAAATAGTCATTGTAAAGCGATGGTAATACTTTTGCAATAATTATGTGATCTATTTGATTTAAAATGTAGTAAGGATTTTTTTAAACTTTGGCAACTATGCCAACTTCGATCTCTGACGTAGATCATGACGTAAGTCGTTATCTAAATTAGATGAAGTATAGACAGTTCGGACTGGGAATAGCGAACCAAGTATACTTCATCTAATTTACTCAACTTTGCACGTCATGTCACACAAAGTATTGCTGACTCGCATTTGGAATACATCAAAGAAGTGAAAATAGCTCATGATATGATAAAGAAACTGGAAGGAATTTTTGATAAAAAAGGTACGTGTTCTAAGTTCTATTTATTAAAAGAATTAACAACGTTAAAATACACAAATGACATAGATATTCAGGATCATTTCTCAAGATGTGATCGACTGTTCAGAGAACTTAAAAATCTGGTAAGTAAATTTGATGAATCTGATATGTCTTGTTTCCTATTATTGTCAATGCCACAAGAGTTTGAAAATGTAGTCACATCCATAAGAACTTTATCAAAGATGATTTAAAAGTAGAATTTGTGAAAAGTAGGTTGTTGGAATTGCATTCCAATAAAAATTCAAGAAGCACAAAAGTTTTGCCTTCATCTTTTAGTGCAACAGAAAAGCAAGTAAAATGCTTTAAGTGTGGAAAAATTGGGCATGTGAAGAGTGTATGTGGCATTAAATGTTTCAACTGTGGTAAGATGGGACACAGAGCAAGTCAATGTTTAGTCAAAAAGCAGAATGTGAATGATAAACAAAAAATTGGAAACAGGGCAAATTATGCTATGAATGAATGTAATGGAGAAGAGGATAATGCTGTTGCTTTCTGTACAACATCTGAAAGTGTAGACGGTTTAATCCTAGAGTGGTATTGTAGTGTCGTAAGCTTAGACAGTGTTAACCCGACCTTAGGGTGTTAGCTGACGGCTGTCTGGCAACCGTCAGCTGTCAACCTAAAAAAAGGACACTTGTAAAATTGCTGTAAAAATATAAACATTTGTGTTCACCCTTTTAGCGGGTATTTTAGTAAAATAAAACTATTTACGTAATTGTCGTATTATTACAAGGATACTACAATTATTTGGCGACGAGAAAAGTTGTGGAAGTTTGGGTGAAGCACAAAATATTGTATTTTTTTACGGAAAGTTGAATTTGGAATTTGCAAGTCATGTCCTTGAACCAGGGTAATTCAGAAAACGTGGTTTTGCCAATCCAACCGACTGTTACAGTGGTTAATACTGGGAACATTTCGGCATTAGCAGTTTTCAAGCAAGGTGATGATTTTGAAGTATTTGAAGAACGGCTAGACCAATTGTTTATGGCATTATGATATATATATATATATGATAAGGTGTCCACACAGATGGAATTGGATACTGGAGCAGGTATTTCTTGCATGCCTCATAAGTTTTATTTTTCCAACCATATTATTTTTCAAATCAGTTGGTATAAAAAACCATTTTATATCGGTAATCTTGCATATGTGCAATTAAATTTTAATTACGGAAACATTTTAAACCAAATTCACACATTAAGATCTTTCTTCACTGTGGAATTTCACATTATGTGTAGTCAGATTACCTGTTTGAGAAAACTGCTTAAAACAAATTTTACACGTGTATGGTTTCTCTCCAGTATGCAATCGCGTATGGTGTTTCAAAGCACTGGACTGAGAAAAGTGCTTAAAACAAATTTCACACTTGTAAGGTTTTTCTCCAGTGTGCACTCTCAAATGAATTTTCAAATCCTGTGAACGAGTAAACCTCTTCAAACAAATTTCACACTGGTAAGGTTTTTCACCAGTATGCACTCTACGATGATTTTTCAAGGCACTTGCTTCACTGAATTGCTTAAAACAAATCTCACACTTGTAAGGTTTTTCTCCAGTGTGCACTCTCAAATGACGTTTAAAATCTTCTGAACGAGTAAACTGCTTAAAACAAATTTCACACTTGTAAAGTTTTTCTCCAGTGTGCATTATTAAATGACTTTTCAAATCAGATCTTCGACCAAACTGCTTAAAACAAATTTCACACTTGTAAGGCTTTTCCCCAGTGTGCAGTCTCAGATGACTTTTCAAAATGTAGGCTTGAGTAAACTGTTTAAAACAAAATTCGCACTTGTAAGGTTTTTCTCCAGTGTGCCCTCTCAAATGACTTTTTAAATCATCTGCACGAGTAAACTGTTTAAAACAAATTTCACACTGGTAAGGTTTTTCTCCAGTATGCAATCTCATATGTCGTTTCATATGACTTTGCCAAGAAAACTCCTTAACACAAATCTCACACTTGTAAGGTTTTTCCCCAGTGTGCACTCTCATATGCTTTTTCAAAGTTACTGTGTCACTAAATTGCTTAAAACAAATTTCACATTTGTATGGTTTTTCTTCACTGTGTAATCTCATATGTTGTTTCATATTACCTAGTTGAGAAAAGTGCTTAAAACAAATTTCACACTTGTATGGTTTTTCTCCATTGTGAATTTTCATGTGTTTGTATAATGAACTTCTACAGGCAAACTGCTTAACACAAATTTTACATTTTAATGTACTCTTTTCAACAGATTGATTCATATGCTGTTCTTTATTACATGTATGTACATGTATTGATTTCATACTTTCCAATGTGTTCTCCTCTTGGGGAAAGTCTAAAATAAAAACTAACATATACTTTTCGCCAAAAAAGATATTAGCTGAAAATAAAAGAGCTGAAATATATTAAATTTGAAACAATCTAAATATTATTTATTTAAGATATTAAATTTCAAGCGATATTAAGTATCGGAGTTATACGTGGACGAAGGGATAAAAAATGAGGTTTAAACTTTTTAAATAGGTTTGAACGGATTTTCATCTCATATTTTTTAGCATTTTTTTGACTCTTGTACATGCGAAAAACCATGTCATTTTTTCGCTGTATTATTAACTATCCTTATATCACAATTTTACAATCATTATCCTAGTCCAACCCTTAATAACCCTTCCTACTTACATTTTACCCCATCTCCATAAGAAATACAGACAGTTCTAAGATAGCAAAGAAGAAGGACTCACTCTCTTGATGGTCGCCTGTCGCTAAGGACAGACTATTATCTCTCTCTTCGCTTATCAAGAAGAACAGCATCTATCTTGGCTGTTTTTCTACCGCAAATATCTCTCTCTCGCCTTAGTTACGCGAGAAATACCGAAAATACTATTTTAAATCGTGTACAGACAAAGTGTGCTCTTATCTCGCAAAGTGTAGTACCGCGAAACACGTGTTTAGAAAAACCGCGAGTGTGCCCGGACATATTCCGCATAAGAAAAGAAAAACCGTGAGAGTGTAGAGCAGAAAAAATATTGGTAAGACTTTCTATACACTTAAATTGCTATTGTCTGTATACCTTTTATTACATATCCTAATTTTATTGAACCAGCCCTATATAATACAGTCCACATACACGGAAATTATATTAATAATTCCCCACATATGTACACACTTTTTGTACAACTCTAATCATTTTTAAATAATTTTTTCATATAAAACAAGAACCGAGTGGACTGATAAAAAACTCCTTCGTTCAATCACGAAACAATTCTATAAAGATGAACCGTGCAAAGTTTCATCAAAATCGGTCGATTCGTTCTCAGTAAATCGTGATTACCGCATGGAAAAACATAGTTTCAAGAAAAACGCATTTGAAATTTTAAACTGAGAGCAGACGTACCGACCGCGCGGTATTCAAATATCTATAAACCCCGCAAATATTGCTCAAGTTTCCTTCAAATTTGGTGTGAATACCCTTTGAAGTAGGTACTATATTTTCATACAGACTAAAAAGAAATTCTATTTTTTGAAAATACAAGACTTATCTATAAAAAGAGAAAATATATTTTTTTCTCTATAAAGCAGAAATACAATTACAATAACAGTACAAACATATTACATTAAATTAAAAAAAACAACATACAAATGCTTTAAAATTACAAAATATTCACATTTAAACAATAAAAATACAATTTAATAGCAGTTCCTTGAATTCTATTGGATAGTCCTATCAGGGAAAGTGAATTAATCCCTGCTCCCCGCAGATCTCATTACTAACTTCTTGTTTTACTTCCATGTGTAAGTGTATAAACTTTGATTTTGTTATCAAAAATAATTTTGTAAATCAAAAACCACGGCTGATTTATTTGTTCTGTTTAATGCCAATCAGCTGTCACCTGTCAAACATCATAGCGACAATGCAAAGCAGGTAGCACCCAAGAACACTAAACACAAATAGGATTGATTTTGTCCTATGCTCTAATCTGCTGAATTTTTTTTTATTGTACTAGCGATTTAAAGGCCTTATAAGACTATTTAATTATTGTTTCTATATCAATTTACTTGTATAAACAAAATGGGTGGTAATAGATGTGTCATATATGGTTGTGATAATAATTTTAAGAGTGTGAAAACCAAGAATTGTTATTTTTCAGTTTTCCAAAAGGAAAGAATTTAGTGTCGAAAACTATAAGGGATGAATGCGTTAACCGATACAGAATAGCTGATAATTTTAATTCTGATTCTAGTAGAATATGCTCTGTTCATTTTACAAAGAATGAATATGAAAGAGATCTTCAAAATTAATTATTAGGTAAAATGATTAAGCAATAAAATGCCTATAAAAATTTTTTAACGTAACTTATTTGGTTTAGTAGGTTTACCTACTAAACGTCTTTTGAAGAAAACTGCAGTTCCAACACTTTGTTTATACAAACATACCTTTGACACACCTTCTGTCTCTACTCGTGAATGTAGATTAGATATTATTATAGAAACAGAAAGCAACTTGTAGCAGAAATTATAAAGGTTGATTCAAATATTTTGAATATTGCATCTAATTATGAACAACATGAACATACTGTTACTGAATCTGAAATAATTTTTAAACAAGCTGGTGACAATATAGATTTAAAGCCTGAAGTAGATTTTGAAGCAAAATACAACGAATTATTACACAAGTATGAAAAATTAAGAGCTGATCATTCCAATTTGAAGAAAAAGAGTCCAAAAATATGAATGTTAAATAAAGTAAACTTTAAAAATAAGGCTATTATCGAGCACAAGTTAATTAAATCTAGCCCAAGTACTTTCGCTTAAAATAGCATCTTCAGGGGCATTTTGTCAAGGCATTTTAAGCGAAAGTACTTGGGCTAGATTTAATTAACTTGTGCTCGATAATAGCCTTATTTTCAAAGTTCATTTATTCGAGCATTCAACCTCATTTCGTTAAATAAAGTGTTAACCACAAACCAAATTGCTTTTCTTTCTGAGGTGTGGATCAATATATTAGTCCAAAAGTATTCCAAAAAGCCAATCTTAAAATTCCTCAAGAAAAAATAGAAGAACCCTGATAAATCTAACAATAGTAGTTTTTTCTCTTCCTAAGAATCATCTTATAATCAGTCTGCACCCTCATATTGCGTTGTCAGTGATTTGCAGAAAAAAAACAGAAGATGCCTTAGAATACATAGCATATATCGCTGGGTATTTAGCAAAACCATTTAAAGATAATTTACCTGATTTATTTAATTTCGCATACAAAGTTAATGAACATAGTTATAGTTTACCATTATGGGTGCAGCAACTCTCAGGTCTTGTCAAGCCCACAGATGAGTGGTTCATAAAAATAAAATTATGAAATAAATATTAAGAAATTAATATTAAAAAAATAATTGAGTTGTTGGAAACATTTCAAAAAGGATTTTAAAAAAAGAAAAATTGTTGCCATACAGCTTACTAAAAACTTTTGTAAACTTAGAATAATAATTAGAATAAATTATAGACATTTAAAATTCAAGGAAGCTGAAAATTTGAAGCAAAAAAACTTATTCATGCTGGATTCACCTAGGTCAAAAATTAGAAAATTAAATAAAATTGTTCATATCATATGTCTGTGTTATGTGTTTAATTGACTTACGACAATCATAGACATACTATACAATTATATTAACATTGTTAAATATAATATAAATATAATATAATTAGACATAAATATAAACAATTACATAACCTCACATATCATATGTCTGTGTTGTGTTTCCTCCTAAAACATGGCGCGCGTGTTGAAAAACTTCAAAGGCGGTATCTGACAGTGGGCCATCGAGCAAAAAGATAAAAGAGGGAATCTAACCGTTATGAAAAGGAGACCAAAAAAGTGGCCTCTGATGGCGGACATATCCGGAAATGCAAAGGCGCTAAATTTAAATTTTCCAACACTTATTAACAATAGCTATAAAATATTTTTCAGACGAGAAAGTTTTAATTAAATATTAACTATAATAGTCTAAAAAGTGACACAATTGGTAAAAGATTTCAATATAAATAAAATTTCATGTGACAGTTGGGACAAACAATAACATAACCTAACTAAATTTGACTTCTTAAACAAGGAAAGAGACTGTCTATCCTTGTCTAAAGTGGCCTCTCAAGATGGCACTTCCTGTCTATCAATATGTTTACCCCCACTACCTTTACATTCCCTCTTTTATCTTATTGCTCGATGCAGTGGGCATTCTGATTGTTTATTATCAATAATAGGTAATAAATATTAATTGGTAAAAAACGTAACTATTTTATTGTATTTCCAATAAATATTAATATACACTACATAATTATTTTTTTTTGCATATAGGTAAATATGTTTACTAGAAACGAATTGATCGAGAGTAGTGAATCGATGTGAAGAAAAGCTATTTTGTGACGCTCTCGCGAAACAATTTAAGATTTTTCCCTAGTGTGCACTCTCGAATATTTTTTTAAACTTCCCCTTTGTTTAAACTGCTTAAAACAAATTTTACACTGATAAAGGTTTTCCCCAGTGTGCAGTCTCATATGTAGCATGAGTTTGTTGAAAAAAACCGTTTACAATTTTTTTCGCGGACAGGCAAAATAAAGATAGCTTGCAAAATAATTACAAATCTTAGATATGCAGGCAGTAACCTCATAGGCTGATGCTAGAAGAAAAATTGACTGATATGGACTTGCTGATCCAGATGAAGCCATGATCTACATAAAGCTTCTCTAACAGACCTCTACACTTTCTAGAGTAAGGAGACAAAAGAAGAAGGGATTTAGTGGTAAGACTATAGCCTTATCACCAAATCAATTTTATCATAATTATTATCGAAGTGGCGGGACTAACAGAGGTTAGATATATGAATAAAATGTATAATTTCTCAGATATTTTTAATATTTCAATTTTTGTTACATTCATTTTGAGACACATGAAATATGTTTGTTAAAATAGATTTATTGTTTTTAAAATACGAATTTATCCAACTTGGACAAAGCCCTTTTCATTTAATAACGAAAATTGGGGCCGAATTCTAGATAATTTATACTCAAAAGTGACATGCACAAAAAAATTAAGTCCTTATATTGTCGTCATGAAAAATAATAATCGCGATCTAATTACTCTCTTCAATTATCTGAATATTTCTGGCAAATAAATATCTGCTCTAAATAATATCAACATATTTTTATAACATTAATCTTAACATGCCCTCTCCAGTGTGCATCAACCAATATATTATTTAAATCACTGGTATAAAATATGATATGTGTGTAAGATTGAATGAATATGTGCAATTAAATTTCAATTAAGGAAACATTTTAAAACAA